CATGCATGCATGTGTCACATGCATGTCATATACATATAGCATGTCACACACATCATACTTATACATGTTATTGCATATTTGTCACACATGTCATGTACATGTCATACATGCCATATTCCTGTCATCCACGTCACATGCATGCCATATACATATATGCACAGTCACGTTTAAACAGTCACACATGTGAAATACACAACATGTATGACAAATATGACATGTGTGACAGATATGACATGCATGTGACATGCATATAACAAATATGAGATGCATGACATGTATGGCATGCATGACATAACTGGCAAATGACATGCATACATGTATGGCAAATATGACATATATCAAATATATTCATACGGTATGCCATGGATGACCAATCTGACATCATATGATGTGTATGATAAATGAGATGCCATGGATGACCAATATGACATGCACGACGAATATGACATGTATGTGACACGTGTGACAAATCTGACATGCTATGCATGTCACACATGTATGCATGTCGTTGGTTATCCATGGTATTTCATGGATATTTATGGTATTTCAGATTTGCCATGCATGTCATATGCATGTCAGATTTGCCATACATGGCATATCATATGTATGTCATACTTGTCATGTTTGCCATACATTTTATCTGTTACACATGTCATTCATGTTATATGAATGTCATTTGCCATGGATGACCAATATGACATGCATATGACATGGATGACAAATATAACATGCACGTGACACGTGTGTCACGTATGTCATGTGTTATATGTATGTCATAGCTGCCACATGTCACATTTGTCATCAATATATACATGCCATATCTGTCATGTATGTCATATTTTCCATACATGCTACATGTATGTCACATGTATAACGTATAAACGAGAGCGTGCATATAACATACATATAACGTGTATATGACATGGATGACATTCATGACTTAAATAATGCATGGCAAATATGACATGTGTTTATCATGTATGACACACATGACATGTGTGACATGCCATAACATATATGGCAAGTATGACATGCATACGACACACTACATGTATATGACATTTGGACATATAACACATATGACAAGTACGACATGCATCAATTTGACCTGTATGACAAATGTGACATGTGTGACATTTACGACATATATGCTGTCACGTTTATGATAAATATGACATACACATAACATGTATATGAAATGTATGACATTTATGACATGGGTGACATGCATGACATGCATATAATGTGCACAAACATGAACATACATATAACATGCACATAACTTGCATGACATATATGACATATATGTAACATGTACATATTACTGGTATGACATGCACGCCATGCATATCACATGCACATAACATATATGTCATATATAACACACATAACATGTATGACATATATAACATACCTATAAGATGTATGTAAACTATAACTTACATGTAACATGTATATAATGTAAAATGCAATGTGCACATACATATAGCACATTACACATAACATGGAAAATACGACATGCTTATAACATGCATCATATGTGACATGTTTGGCACACATGTAACATTTTAAATGTTTATTACAGGTATATAACATAGATGTTACATGTTACATATCTAAGACACGTACAAAACAAAGAACATTTATGGCATGTATAGAACATACTTATAACATGTATATGACAATATATGTACGTATATGATGTGCATGTAACAACACACATGTGACATGCTCATACCATGCAAGTAACATGTTACATGCATATGACCTGCACATAATATGTAACATGCTCACGACATAGAGTGAGAAGGAAGAGGGCCTTTCAGCGAGGCTTTTCACAATTCTGTGGCTTCCAAAAGCTTCCACTGCTTGCTTGAGGTTTTTATGGAGTCTCACGTGTTTGCTAGCTTCATCCAAGACAGAGCTAAGAAAGTGAGTGGAGCAGTACTTAGAGGAACTCCCAGAAACTGAGCAGAGTCGAATGAATAAGTTTCTCCAAGGTTTGGGCAACAAAATGAAGTTCCTCCAGAAGAATAATTGAGCCACCCTCTCAGTAGCAGAGTCCAGTGCCTTGCAGAGCCTGAAGCCTAGGGAGAAGACCTAGCCTGGGATCATCTGTGCTGCTATGGCTGCTCTGCCCCCACAGATCCCATCCTCCAACCCAGTCCACCTGTGCCTTCATCATATCCTGGGAAACTGTTTGTAAATAATCTGCTGTAAGCTTTCTTAACTGTTTTTGTAACAAGCAAAGATAATATGGTAAATATTTGTATATTCTCAAGGGACCGGGTGCTTTCCCATCCTCCCAGAGCATGGATGAAGTTTTGCTGGGTGCTTGTGACTGGCCAGTTTTGTGTAGCTGACTATCTCAGCCAAATCACTGATCTTCTCTGGAAGCCTTTGGCCTGCCTGTCGGCCTGCCTGAGGCCCTTGCTGCCACTCTTGGGCCCTGGAGAGCAGATGCTATCAGAGGACCTTTTAAAAAAATCTTAGAGTTCCTATTTTTTTTCATAGTCCCCATACCCATACCCTCTGTTTTTGAAAGTCCAAGGCCAATCAGTCTCCATTTGAGGCTCTTAGGCATGGTCCTCTCATTCCTCATTGAGATGGTCAGTGTGTGATGGGAAGCCCACCCCCAGCTCTGCCAGTGCTCTCTGGGCCTGGCTCCCAGTCAGTGGTGACCACAGTGTGGTACAGGGCATTCCTCCTTTCCATCTACGGTGTTCTCAATAAACAGTGGACAGTTGTTTGGGCCCAGAAAAAAATATTAAAAGAAACATAATATATATAAAATATATAAATATAACATATAATATATTGTACATAAATATATATAACATATAAATATATAAAAATACATCTATAACATATAAATATATGTGTATATATATTTATATATAAAATATTATAATACCATATTGTTACTCTTCCTCTTCTATGTTTAGCTACAGAAATACTTACCACTCTGTTACAATTGCTTACAGTATTGAGAGCAGTAACTTGCTGTGCAGGTTAGCAGCCTAGGAAGATGCCTTACTTTGATTTATGTTCATGTATCATTCTCACTTAGATTTTGTGGGGTTGAAAGGTAATTGTCTAAACCAGATGTGAATGGAGGGGGGTCTCCGGAGAGCAAAGGGCCCTCCATTCCCCTTCCTAATATGAATAGACTTATGCCATACAGCCGACGTGTACTGTGCCGTCTAGGTTTGTACAAGTGCACTCCAGGATGCTCTCACAGCACAAAATCACCTAACGACACATTTCTCAGAATGTGTCTGTCATTAAGTGACACATGACTGTTTACACTGTTGACCTCAAGTACGCACATAGATCAGACAAGTGGGGAAAGACTTCATTCTACTTTATTCTAATTTAAATGCAGGTGCTGGCCGTAGTGAGGAAAGTGAAGGAGCAGCACTCAGCCTCCCGTGATAGTCAAGTCTAATTAGAAATCCTTCTTGGCCTTAGTTCAAAGCTCCTCTTAATCTTCCAGGAACTTAATCCTCTACACAAAGTGTGTGAAGACAAAAAAATGTAGAAAGTATGGAACTCACTATTATTTAAGTGTGGAATATTAACTTTGCTGTAAGAAAAGGGATTTATTCACTGAACTGAACTGTATTAATCTGACTCATCACCACAGAAATCAGGCAGGCTCCTCTGAGTCAGAAAATTTCAAGACCTTTCTGACGTCTGCTTTTCCTCTTTCGGGACTGTTTGAGTCCAGCAAAAGGAGGGGCCAGCAGATTTCAATTCAAGTATGTCTGAAGCCTGTTTACTGACGTTATTTATAAAACAAAAAATAAAAATAGTAAAATCTCCACTACAAATGATCTCTGTAAAGTGTAATAATATGATTTGTTTATTTTCTATATTTATAAATTGCTACATTGAACAGTTTTAATTAAAAAAATTAAAGTTAGCCTGGAAAGTTTTTTTGATTGTTGTTTGAATTTGCAGACACGACAGTACCTTTTAGCTGTTTCTATACTCGAGTAGCAATCAATTTGGGTGTAAAATTTTAGGATCACAATGTTCTTTATACCTCATCCTACTCTCTCCTGGTATTTGTTACTCAGAGAAGAAATCTGAGTCCTGATTATTTCAATTTGTTTGAAGAAACCAAGTTATTATTATTATTTTTGTTTGTTTAACAGGAGTCTTTCTATTTAAATTGAAATTTTTTACCTAGCAACTTCTTATTCTAGGTCTCACCTTATGAATTTTTTCCTTCCTATGTTGAACTCTCAACCTCCGATTTTAGATTTCTTCTCAGACCTGGAAAGCATATTTTTAAGATAAATGTTTAATCTTGCTTGTGATCCCCCATTCCATTTAGGCTTTAAGAACATCTCCGATTTATAGGTTGGAGTTCTATGATTTGTCCTCTCTTTAAGTTTCTGAGCTCTTCTAAATGTCTTTATTCATTTCACATTTGGGAATATTTCTGAAGCAAATCCTTTCCGTTATAGATTTGATTTTCACACCGTCAAATCTGCCTTTTATTGCTTCTAGTACAAAATCTGCTAGATTTTGTCTTCTTTCTTCAGTGGCTTGAACGTGGTTTCCTTTTAAAATCGAAGTCTGTTCTTGTTGGGTGATGGCAGTGTCCTCTCAAACTGTTTCTGGGGTTCCTGCACCCCTGTGAGCTCCCAGGCCATGTCTGTGGCAATGCTGAGGACAAGTGCAGAGTGTGGCCCTCCTGGTGATGAAGAGGAGGTGCACCCCAGGTTAGCAGAAGCCTAGAGAACTGGTGGGGCTGAGCAGGTCGGGACATAGAAACATGTCGTCACAAAAACCCTAAGATGAGATATGATTTTCCCAGCCTGTGACTCTGTAGGCCTGACTCGCTTCATTACACTAAACTGGATGTAAATGGAGAGCAAAGGGCCCTCTGTTCCCCTTCCTAATATTAATGCCTTACTTTGATTTACATTCAAGTATCATTCTCCCTTCGATTTTATGAGGTTGAAAGGTAATTGTCTTTATTACCACAGAAAGGAGAACTGGAGTTCAAAGAAACTTAACTGAGAAGTGAGTCCTGGTCTCTGGATTCTTGCGTTGATGTCTGGAGTCAGAGCAACTGGTGATGAAACCGAGTCCAGGCTCAGTGCCTCCCAGGAATGGCCTCACATCCTGTTGTGCAACTTTCCGGAGCCTCTAGGTCAGTGTGGTGCTTTGTAGCTGTCCTGGGAGCCCTCAGCAGCAGTTGGAGTTGGTGCACGGAAGGATGAGGAAGACCAGGCACTGGGGGCTGCTGTGGATGCTCTTTGTCTCAGGTAAGACAAGGAAGGGGAGTAAGCCGGGGAGGCATTTGGTTCAGGACCTTGGGGAGCCCTTTTCCTTTGAAGCTTTAGAGGATGGGGCCATCCAGGATAGAGCCAACCAGCAGTTAAGCCAGACCTTGCTGCTCTACCCAAACTTAGCAGAATCAGGAGAATGTGCAGTGTCTGCACACAAAAATAAAAGGAGGAGAGAGTCAGGGAAGCAAGATGTCTGTGCAGGTCGATGTTGTCAGGGACATGCAAAGCCTGGCCTGGGAATAATGATAGAGTAAACCTCATCATGGCGTGATCTAAAATGAGTTTATTTCATGTTGAAATTTTTTTCTTATATTCTATCATGATGTGTTTGATGTTGACAACCTGTCAAACCCGAAAGACAGAATTTATTTAACAAATATTTCCCAGGGGTCTACTATGGGCTAGCAAATGTACTACTGCTGAGGAGGATTCGCTTCAGAAGACATAGATGTGACCAGAAGAGGCTGGTTTTTTTTGGTGGAGGTGATCATCCCAGCTCTTCATGGCATGCTGGGGTTGGAGGTCACAGTCGCTAAGGCTCGGCAGAGCTGGCCGTGCCCCAGCCCTTCCTCGTCTCTCCCCTTGTGACCCGCACAGCTCACATCTGCACCAAAACCAGAAGCATGGGGGGCTTTATTCACTCCTCCTCTTAGTCCTTATGAATAACAGGAGGAAAGTGTCAATATGAGTTAAAAGCGAGGCTTGCCTTGGGAAGGCATGAAAATTCAGGGAGAGGTATTTTCCTGGGCCCTATACTTTGAGCAGAGTCATGCACAACTGCCTTTTGGAGCCTGTGCTCAGATGTTGCGCTGGGTCTTCTGGGAGCTGGGAGGATAATCTAGGTGGGCAGAAGGGAGTTAGGTCCTCGTGGACAAGTGCATTTCCTTGGGTTTGATTCGTCTTTTTCTGAAGGTGACGTGGGAGATGGCAGAGGGCTGAAGGTTATGTACTTGTGTGAGAGAAAACCGGTGGCATATATTTCACTGTGCCTTGTGGTAATAGACTAGGGGTTATCCTGAATGCTCCTTGCAATTGGAAACCTATTCATGCTTGGGCCAGTGCTGCTCTAATCTCTCTCGGACTGTGTTGGGCCATGTAGCTCAGTGCTTTAGATGGAACAAGAGTTCTTGGGTTTGAAACCTAGCTCTAGCACTTAACTATGGTGAGACTTTGGGTAAATCATATAATCTCTCTGTGCCTCAGTTTTCTTAATTATAAAATGGGGAGAGTAATGGTATCAACCTTTTAAATTATAAAGATTAAATAAGATAGTCTTTAAAAATACTTAGCACATAATACTCAATAGGTAGTATTTGCTACCCTTTTAGTTAACATATTCTAAGGAATTCCCCTCTTGCAATGGTGCACAGACAGCTCAGCAGCCTTCACTTCTTACTGTCTCCTTCCTTCCATGAAGGACAGGCAAGTTTGCAAACTCAGTCACCTGTAACTCACACCTTCCCTGGGGAGCTGGCAAATAAAGATTTATCTGTAACATTAGCTTCAGAGGTTAGGGCTTCAGTGATGGCCACTTAGAGATGGAGTCTGTGTGTCTTTCAAAGAGCTCAACACAGCGCCTTTGATAGAGAAATCTCTCAGCCACTGTCTGATGAGCAATGGAACAACTGAGGGAACCAGGCTTGGTTTCAGACAACACTCAGCCCCTGCTCAGCTGCCTCTTGGAGGGGCATTCCTGGCTGGAATTTGTGGGAATTGCCCAGGAGGTCTGTTTACAAGGTTTCCTTAGAAACTGGAGTCTGCTTCCAGAAGAACTGGCTTTCAAGCCTGGTTTTACCTTTAGAATCCTCACGAATTCCTGAATTGGATCTTCCCAAGGTTAGGCAGATCTGTTGGCCTATCCTGGGGTGGGCATGACAGGGGCTCCATGAATGGGGCAGTGCTTGCCATTTTTCACCAGGCCTGAAAGGATCTAAGCGTGTGGTATTAATAACAGCAGTACTAGTGTTACCCTGACCCACACAGTAGACCCAGCAGCACTGTCCACTCCGTTATCCGGCACTCCATGGGGGAAGGTACTCCAGGCCTGAGTGAGTAAGCTACAGTCTCTCAGCAAACTTCGAGAGCCCCGTGTGTCCAGCTGAAAACATGGACCTGGGTCTTCTCACTTTCACTCTGCTTAGCCTCCCATCAGCAGGGCTCCCTTGGATGAGACCAGATGACCATTCCCAATTCTAGGTGGTTAACCTGGTTCAGCCTCCAAGAATGAGATGGAAACTATTGTCACTGTAACCCAGGAGTTCTTAAACCTGGCACTATCGACATTTGGGGTGGGATGCTTCTTTGTTGTGTCCCGTGCGCTGTGGATGCTTAGCCTGGTCTCCGTTAGATGTTAGCAGCATCCACCCTTCTCCCTGGTTATAACTACCAAGCATGTCTAGATATTGTGCAGTGTTTCAGGGAGGGTTGTGGGGGTGGGGGAGCAAAAGTTGCTCCCCAGTTGAGAACTACTGCTGTTGGCTCCTTGACATCAAAAATAGGAGGGGGCATTTCTTGGCTCAGGTAACTGGGAAGTACAAGGGGTGCTCCGTTGGAGCACAGCTGAATCCCTGACTCAGATAATGTGGGGTGCTCTTTCCCTCTCTCTCTCTCTCTCCCCCCCGCCACCCCTGCACTCTCCCCCATCTCTCTTCCTCCCACTCTCTTTCTGCCTGTTTAGCCATTCTCAGGCAGCCTATTCCCACGTGGCAGAAAGTTTCACATCTCACTGACCTGTCAATCCCAGCAAGAAGCATTTCTCTTAATGGCAACAGCAGTCTCAGGAAGGGTTCTGATTGGTCCAGTTCAGCCATGTGCCCCTTCCTAAACCAATCAGCTTGGCAAGAGATGGAGTACTTCTTTTTTTTGGCAGAGTTCTCGCTCTGTTGCCCAGGCTGGAATGCAGTATCATGATCTTGGCTCACTGCAACCTCCTCCTTTCAGGTTCAAGTGATTCTCCCACTTCAGCCTCCCATTCAGCTGGGACTACAGGCATGCACCACCATGCCTGACTAATTTTTTGTATTTTTAGTAGTGATGGGGTTTCACCATGTGGTGGGGCTGGTCTCGAACTCCTGACCTCAGGTGATTCTACCACCTCAGCTTCCCAAAGTGCTGGGATTACAGGCGTGAGCCATGGTGCCTGGTCCCGAGATAGGGTACTTTGATTGGCAAAGCCTGTGTCCTGTGTCCTTCCTTAAGAACGTGGAAAACCCCAACAGTAGAGCCACACAGGATGGTTCCCTTGGAAACAGGTGCTCTGCTACCCAAGGAGGGGAGAAAGGAGTGCCAGGAGGTCAGACGGCTTGCCTTCAAGATGGGTTCCTCACTGTTGTCCAATGGTCTTCTGAACTGATCTCTTTGTCCTGACTTAGTGAAGCTCCTCAAGCTGTCCTTGGAGCCACTCTCTGCTAGCACTGTGTCTTTGCATTCACTCTTTGCTGCACATCCTTGTAATCTTTCCCACCCACCATGCTGTAGCACTTGTGGGCTTAGCACAGCGTCCCATGTTCTGTCTCCAGTCAGGTGGTTTCTTCCTCTCAAAGTCCATCTTCCTCTCCCGATCATTTATGAAATTTGAGCCTCATGGACCATATGCAGTCTCACCCTTATAGTGAAAAACCTACTCACAGTGAAAAGATATGAGGTCTAGTACTGGTTTGCAGGGAAAGTTGCATTTTCTTTGGAGGCCTCAAGAACTTTGTCTGAAAGATGGGAGGTTGGACAAGAAAAACAGGCAGTTCCTCTCCTTTTTCCCCCCAGAGAGAGAAAAATAATTCCTCACAGAACCCAATTCTCTTTCCCTGCTTATAGAACTTCAAGCTGCAACTGAATTACCTGAGGAGAGGTTTGATCTGGAAGAGGGACAGACCCTGACTGTGTACTGTCCTTATGAGATACGAATGTATGACAACAGCCAGAAGGCTTGGCAGAGGATAAGAGAGGGAAAAGAGCTGCCCCAGACACTGGCAACCACAGAGATGCCTTCAGTGAATTCCCATCCGGTCCAAGTGGGGAGGATCATACTGGAAGATTACCATGATCATGGCTTACTGCATGTCCAAATGACCAACCTCCAAGTGGAAGACTCTGGACTGTATCGGTGTGTGATCTGCCAGCATCCCAAGGAGCCTCGCATGCTGTTCCGTCCTATCCAGCTGGTGGTGGCTAGGGGTGAGTGGCCTGGGATTGGTGGGGAAAGGAAGGCCAGGTGAGGGAGAGTGGTGGTAGCATCAGCAGAACTGGGATTCAGGATTCCTAGCAGCCTGTCTTCCTCCCAGAAGCTCCTTATCTCTCATCTGAGGTCCAATAGTAAGTAGAACCTTCCAAGCATGAGATTCTCCTTGGATAGCAGAGCCTAATTTGGGGTGCTGTGGTAGGAATTGGGGTACAACTAAGGTGAGTGGTAGATTTAAGATAATTTAGTCTCATTGCTTGCTCTCCACTTAGAAGTAATGCCCTGGCTTCCCCTCCTGAGGATGCATTTGGTGGCATGACTGTGTGCTTCTGAAGCAGTCCCTCTCAGATCTTTCTGGGAGCACAGATCATCTGGGGATCTTATTTCAAATGAAGACTCCAACTGAATAGGTACAGGGCGGGACCCAAGAGTCCGCATCTCTAATGATCTCCCAGATGATGCCAATGCTGATGGTCCATGGCTCCCATTTTGGGGGAGCAAGTCTCCAGAGCTCACTTTGTGTCCCCTTGTACACAACTCTTATCTCACTGGATAGGAGAGGCTCGTTCTTATCTGTCCGCTATACATTTCAGAGCTGCTGGAGGGAGGTACCCGTGCCTTCCTGGACGCTGCACCCTTAGCGAATAATGTAGTTTGTGACACAAAGTAGGCCCTCAGTAGATGTTGCATTAAGGAATGAATTATGAAAGACAGAGGAAAGGGTGGCAGGTTCAAGTTTCCAGGACCTGGGGAATTCTAAGCCTGAGAAAGCCAAGGTGCATGCACAATATATTAATAAAAGATAACTTTTAAAGCCATTTGCTCTAAGCCAGGTGAATGAAAGGCAGAGTGAATAAAGTAAGCCTGGAACTATTCTCGGAGAAGGTGGGGGCACATGAATTGGTGAAGGACAGAAGTCAAATGCATTTCCAACAATACCAATGCCAAAAAATTCTTTCTTCTTCCCTCTTTCTGCTCTCTCTCACTTCCTGCCCTTTTTTTTTCTTCTTTCCTTCTTTTGATTTCTGACTCAGGCTGACCTCACAGTATTTCTTTCATTTTAGCAAAAAAACTTTGCTTTTTGGCCATGCTCATTTCCCTCCTCAGCTTCATTTACCCTACCACCTCCAATCCATCTACTTATCCACCTTTTCATCCATCCATCCATCCATCCATTCACCCACCCATTCACCCACTTCATCATCCATCTGTCCATCCACCAATCCATCCATCCACCCACTTTCCAACACTTCATCCATCAAACCACTCACTCATCCATCCACTCATCCATTCACTTATCCATCCATCCATCCATCCATCCATCCATCCATCCATCCAATGTGTCTTCTTGCAGGTTCTTCAGGTACCCCTGACTCCAATAAGAATTCTACCCAGAATGTGGATAATATTCCTTCTACCACCACTAAGCCCCTGGGCCCACTGTATACCAGCCCCAGAACTGTGACCCAAGCTCCACCCAAGTCAACTGCTACCGTCTCCATGCCTGGCTCTGAAATCAACATTACAAATACAACAGATATCATCAGGTATGGTTTCCAGGCCCCTGGGCCCTGGATTTGGACACTGAGCCTGTTGTTCCCCAGTCAGCATGCTGAGAGGATGTGGGAGTGAGGGCAAGGGGAGGATGGGGCAGGAGCAGACATGAGTCACATTAGTCTGGGTAGAAATGTCCAGGGAAGAAGGAGGTGCTGATGAGAATAAGGAGAGGCTCTCAGCCAGGCTGTCCTTCAGCCAGGTTGCTTTCTTGCAACCTGAGTATTAAGGAGAGGGAAATGGCATCTTCCCCAAATTCCAATGGACCCCATCCAACCCCAGGGTCCTGATGGGTAGTGGGAAAGCCCTCTCTGAGTAAGGGACCCTGGATCTAGTGTCAGCCTGACTAACTGACTATGACTTTGTGTGAGTCAGGCCCCCTCTCTGGCTTTAGTGTCCTTGTCAATTCAGCAGGCATGCTAGAAACCCAGAGCTGAAGACATTGTCCACCTAACAGCTCTCAGCAGGAGCCACACGTTAGCGCTAAATGCAGTATTGGTTTTTACCTTGTTGTTTTTTAAATAATAGTGTTGCATGTGCCCAGTTATAGACCAATAGAATCAGAATTTTTGCAGATAAGGTCCATCTCAGTATTTTTTTTCTTCTTTTTTGAGATGGAGTCTCGCTCTGTCACCCAGGCTGGAGTTCACTGATGCAATCTCAGCTCACTGCAACCTCTGCCTTCCAGGTTCAAGCAGTTCTTCTGCCTCAGCCTCAGCCTCTGAAGTAGCTGAGACTACAGGTGGCACCACCATGCCCAGCTAAGTTTTTGTATTTTTAGTAGAGACGGGGTTTCACCATGTTGGCCAGGATGATCTCGATCTCTTGACCTTGTGATCCCCCTGCCTTGGCCTTCCAAAGTGCTAGGATTACAGGCATGAGCTACTGCGCCTGCCCTCAGTATTTTTAATAAGATCTTCAGGAGATTTCTAATGTGTGGGCAAACTTAAGAACACTAACTTCTCAATCTCATACCTCTTTACAGTTATTAAACGTTGATTTATCTTAGAATGTGTTTAACATTAAATATTGAATTAACAAGGAAGGAAATATTCTTCCACATTGCCACTAGTCTCACATGTTTTTCTCATATTCTCTTCTAGTCTTTATTCATGTTTATACATATTTTAATATGGGAGTAAGTCTAATTGTAAATGCTTTTATTCTTTTGCCTGCTGAAATTATTTGATGCTGCTACCTAAATTGCATCATTTCAATAAATGCATACTTTTCTATCATTGGGAAGCCATAACTGACATCATCTTTGGCCTGTTCTTAGACAGTGATACAGTGTTGGTAACTCTGAGGTAAACAGATACTTGCAGATGAATTTTTCTTCTTTTAGGTAATTAACTCAAATGAAATTTTCATGAGATAATTTAAGCAGTGCTACCACTTTGTATCCAAATGGCATCTACCAATGGTCTTCCAAAAGACTGGAAACAATTTGCAGTGTGACTCATGGTGCACAGATAAAGCAGTGTCACTGCAGGCTTACAGACATGGAGTTAGTAATTTCAATCATTAAATAGTGTGAGTTAAATCATATTCCTACTAAAATGCGTGCGAACTGGTGCCTGTCCTAATTTCTCTATGAGTGTAGACTCCACCTCCATATGTGTAGTGGGAGTGCCTTTTCCCCCATTACATTGTTTGGGGAACAAAGTGCTCATTAAATCTTTGTGGAGTAAATCAGATGAACAATACACTAAGAGTCAATGCTTTTTTGTTTTCTTTCTACCTTCATTTTGCAATATGTAAGCTAAGAGTATATAACCTTTGACCATATTCCTACTGTTAAGAGAAGGAGGGCCTTGAGTGTCCAGGTTTTGGGCCTTTTGAACAAAGAATTGTACAAGACATATTAAGTAATAAAGGAATGAAGCAGTGAAAGCAGGAATTTATTTATTTATTTATTAATTTTTGGCGGGGAGATGAAGTTTTGCTCTGTCACCCAGGCTGGAGTGCAGTGGCGTGATCTCTGCTCACTACAACCTCTGCCTCCTGGATACAAGTGATTCTGTTGCCTCAGCTTCCTCAGTAGTTGGGATTACAGGTGTGTGTCACCACACCCAGCTAATTTTTGTATTTTTAGTAGAGACGGGGTTCCACCATGTTGGTCAGGCTGGTCTCAAACTCCTCACCTTGTGATCTGCCTGCCTCGGCCTCCCAAAGTGCTGGGATTACAGGCGTGAGCCACCATACCTTGTTGAAAGCAGGGATCTATTTAAGGGAGAAAGCACTCCCCAGGGTGGGAGTGGGCTTGAGCAAGTGGCTCAAGGGCCCAGTTAGAAAGTTTTCTGGGTTTTAAATACTCCATGTGAGGTTCCTCTAGGTTACCCCTTATATAGATGAAGAATTAGATTTGTGGCTAATGAAAGGCTGAGGTGAATTGGCGCACTATGGCTATCAAGGGATGGTTGTCCCTTGCTTGGCCAATGGCCAATCCAAGGCACTCTCCCTTTCCATCTGAGACGTGGTGGAAGGGGGAGGGGTGTAGGGAGAGTTGCCTTTGATCTTTTGCTACTGGGGCATGGGGAGATGGGGTTTTTCCGTTTGGTTTAGCTTTAGAAAGTTTGCATTGGCCAGGTGCAGTGGCTCACACCTGTAATCCCAGCACTTTGGGAGGCCGAAGAGGGTGGATCACCTGAGGTCAGGAGCTCAAGACCAGCCTGGCCAAAATGGTGAAACCTTGTCTCTACTAAAAATACAAAAATTAGCTGGGTGTGGTGGCATGTGCCTGTAATCCCAGCTACTTGGGAGGCCGAGGCAGGAGAATTGCTTGAACCTGGGAGTTAAAGGTTGCAGTGAGCCAAGATTGCACCACTGTACTCCAGCCTGGGTGACAGAGCAAGACTCTGTCTCAAAAAAAAAAAAGAAAGTTTGCATTAATTGGCCTTAGGTTCCCTGCTCTCAGCCCCAGGAGTGTTCCTTTTGATCCACCTCTGGGAAGTGAGCCTGAAACTGTCTTTGATTCTTTGTCCCCAGACCTTGTGTTGCTCCTTGATTCAGCATGAATTGGCCTTAAGTTCCCTGCCTCCAGACCCTATTTTCCTGCCTTGCTACTAGAAGTTGCTTCTCTCTTTTATCTGTTAGTTTCATGTATAATCTAATATCAACTATCCTTGTCAGCCAGAGTCCAGTCTGGAAAGTGGAAGCCACTCTAGCTGTTTGAAAAGAAGAAACTTTTCTTTTTCTTTTCTTTTCTCTCCCCCCGTTTTTTACTTTTTGAGACATGGTCTCACTCTGTCAACCAGGCTGGAGTGGAGTGGTAGGATCCTGGCTCACTGTAACCTCAACCTGTCCCACCTTTGCCTCCCAAGTAGCTGGGACCACAGGCACATACCACCAGGACAGCTAATATATTGTATTAGTTTTGTAGAGATTGGGTTCTCCCTGTGTTGCCCAGGCTGATCTTGAATTCTTGGGATCACATAATCCTCCCACCTCAGCCTCCCAAAGTGTTGGGATTACAAGTGTGAGCCGCCACATCCATCCATGAAAAGAAGGAATTTAATGCAGATAATTGTTTGCCAAGGTGATGGAAGAGCTGAGATGCTAACCTGGGATGGGGAGGCATTACAGAGGTAACCACTATCACCCTATCTCTAGGTAGATTCCCCAGAAGCAAGCCATAAAGTTTTGTTAAAATGTCTTAGTGCTAGGCATGGTGGCTCACAGCCATCAGTTGGGGAGGCTGAGGTGGGAGAATCACTTGAGCCTGGGAATTTGAGATTAGCCTGGGCAACATAGCAAGATCCCGTCTTTACAAAAAAATTAAAAATTAGCTTGGCATGGTGATGTGCACCCATGGTCCCAACTACTTGGGAGGCTGAGGCAGGAGGATCACTTGAGCCTGGAAGATAGAGGCTTCAGTGAGCTGCAATCAAGCCCCTGTAAAAAGAAAAATATTTTAGGTAGTGATTTCTTGCAAAGCCATTGAGGAAGCAGGACCAGGAAGGGAAGGAAGCCAAGCAAGGCTATCATAACCAAGGGGTGTCTTACAGGGTAACTCTGGCTCAGTCTTGCAAAGGAGCTCTGGGGACTCCTGGGTCACACTTGGAGTCCCTATAAGGGGCAGTAATTGAGCAAGAGCAGCTCCAACCAAGACCAAGCACATGAATTTCCAGTCTTTCAGGGGGTTGGTAGCCTGTGTGCAGCCCCAAAAGAAATACAGGAGTTGGCCTGTTGGGAGTGGACATCCCCCAGGAGCTCAGTGTAGGACAATGGTAGAGCACTCAGAGTGGATAACACAGAGCGCTGGCCAGAGAGACTTGGGGAGGAGGTGCAGTGAGCAGAGCTCAGAAGCCAGGACATCCAGGATGCAGCACTGGAATTGGGGCAGATGCTGAGGATGCTCAGTGCACCATAGCCATGTGAGCAAGCGTCTCTCTCGCTGGCTCCCTGCCCCTCGCCACCTGTCTCTCCCTCATCCCTGCCCCCTGTCCTCCACCAGTTGCTGAACTTGACCAGGCAGCCTTGGGAATGTAGTCCCCTGTGCTACAAGGCAGGGCCCTTGACTGGGGGTGGATTTCAGGTAAATAGGCAGTTTTCTGCTTTCTACCTCCTTTACGCCGTTTCCCTCTTGGCTAGTTTGTGCACGTGATTCTAAGTTTTGTATAGGTGTGTGTGTTGATTTTAAATCAGTTGCTTTGCTTTATTCCTTAATGTGCTTGATTCTATTTCCTGGTAACTTTTCTTGGATTTTAAAATTTTATTTAAATTTTTAGTCCAGGGGAAGATTTATTCTGCTATATGCTATAAACTGTAGAAAAGACTACTCTGTAATTATATTGCTGTCTAGATACTGCAAGACTATTTATTAAATGATCCTCCTGCCTTGGCCTCCAGGAAGCTGGGACCACGGGTGGATGCCACCACGTTCCACTTACCCACTGGGCCCCCGATTTCCTCAGACGTTAAGTCCTCACACGGCACTGACTCTGCATCTGGACTTTCTGCTCCACTGCCGTCTGTCTGTCCCTGTGCCTTACCATGCCACGTCCTGGTGCTCGCATCTGCTTGCGTGTCTGCTGATGGAACTGGCCAAGTGCCTTCACTCCTTTGCATCTCTATCTTCTGAAACCAATGTTGTTTATCCAGAGCACTTAGGATCATTTCGCCAAAATCCATAAAATTCGTGATGAGATTTTCACGAGGGTTGGATTCTTCTCAGTTTATAGGTGAGGAAACTGAGGCAAAAGAAGTGAGAATGACTACCCCAGGAGGCAAGGCATGGTGCTGAGACCAGAGAGCAGGCTTCCTGGCCAGGGTCCCCTCTCCCTGCCACATCACAGGAAGGAGGATGCTCTGACCAGCCCGATCGTCTCTCTCCAGTGCCTCTCCTGGACAGGGACCTATACTCTCCACTGGATTATTTCTAATCAGTAGTTTTTGGCAATGAGACAAAGCTAAAAGCACAGGGTCAGGCAGTGCAGGAAAGGTGCAGCAAGGACCTAATCAGGTAAGAGTGGGACATGAAGGTGTTTTCTAGAGAAAACACATGCGTGTGGGGGAGACTTTCTCAGCAGTAGCGCTGTCTCCTCTCGCCCCCAGGGTTCCTGTGTTCAACATTGTCATTCTCATGGCTGGCGGATTCCTAAGTAAGAGCCTTGTCTTCTCTGTCCTGTTTGCTGTCACGCTGAAGTCATTTGGACCCTAGACCTACGAACCCATGAGAACTGACCTCCAGCCACATCCATCTGGCAGTTGTGCCAAGAGAGGAGAGAGGAGACAAAAGGTCTGGGGGAATTAATAACACGAATTAAATCTGTAATCACTGGCTATTTCTAAAGTCAGGATCTCACCTTCCTGCCTACTGCCCTCGTTTCTCACTTGGATGGGCATTTGCCCCTCAGAAAAGAAGTTACAGCGCCAAACATGCCTGGTTCTTCATTCCACCAGCTACTTGGCGTTTGCATGAAATCCAGACAGTTCAATGCTTTTCATCGTAATTTCTTGTGGGAGCTGTGATGTGCAGAGGGCACACCTGATCCTTCTGCTCTGTTTTGCCCTGGACCATACAATTTGGGCCTAACCTAGACAGAGCTCCAACTGCAGAAGCATCCTCCTTGTCCCATGCTGGGACTTCCTCTTTGTAGCATCAGACACTTGGTTTTCACGCTTATATGTGGTTCTTTCCAACACTCCAAGAAAAGGGCGTTGAAGATTGTGGAACATGGAGAAATAAGACCTCATGGTGAGAAAGTGCATCTTTCTCAGAGAAAACAGTTAAACTGAATATCTTGTCTTGGAAAAACACTGGCAGGATGAGATGGGATCCATGGGATAACATTGATAGACAATATCAGACACCTATGTGCAATTATCTCTGGAGCCTGAAAATAGCCCCATGAAGGCAGAGATGTATGTGACTAGAATGAGGCCACATGAGTAAGCTACTGCCCGCTGGCAGGAGTGAAAACTGAAGAGCTCCTTACCTGAAGGACCCCAAAGCCATATAGAATAGAATAACCAGGGGTTCTGCCTGTGTCTAAATGCCTCTTTTCCAGTATTACACAAGAGGGAGGCAAGCTCTCCCCATGGAAGCTTCTGGAGGCTGCCCCATATGCTCTCCTTGTTCCCCACTCTGCCCTCCTCCTCCTCTCTCAGTCTGCTCCTGGAATACCTGCTTCAGCTTCCATGCTCTCTCCAGTCCCCTCCCTGTGAAGTAGGTAGGTGTTCAGAACCACCAGTGTCTTGCAATCTCCCATGGATTTCAATCAAGATTTTGCTATTTCCCATTTGAGCTTTAAAGGGAAAGGGGCTTCATGGGTGGGAAAAGGATGGTGGGTCCTTCCAGCCCAATTTAATGATGTCCGGGGCAGATATCATCTTCCATTCCCGAGAGTAATCATGCTTTTCCACACATAGTGTGTCTCATGTTAGGTAAATGTATTTTTACAATGAGCACCACTTCTGTGGAAAAAATTCACTGCACACGGAGTTCCAGCTTCCACTTCCTGAGCCTGCTCCATCACATAAGGACTTCCCCATTCCCCAAAATGCTGCTCTATCAGAACCTGCCCAGGGTTCTGATGATTTATGAACCCCAATGTTGAGTCCATTAGAAGATAGGGGGGCATTTATTTCATCCTGGTGCTCTGGTGAGAATCTTCGCAGATGCACTAGATACAGAAGCTGTTCATCTTAGCACATTAATTTTCCTACCTAAAAGAACCAAGCAGCTCAGAGGCAGTGACCATACAGCATGCAGTGTTCGTGTGCTGAGTTTGCTGGTCTGGAACCTGCAGTTTAGCAATCCCAGCATTGCTCCTGTTTATGAAGTTTTCAAAGTGACCAGGGGAAGGGGTTATGATCACTAAATGCACTCCAGGAGGGGCACAACACACAAGGGCAGTGTTTCTCAGAGTGTGGTCTTTAGACCAACTGCGTCAGATTCTCCTGGAGCATAAAGCAAATGCTTAGAGTCTGGGGCCCCTGCAGACCTACTGTATCCTAGTATACAGCTCCTCTTAGTGGATCTCAAGCTTGTTTCCAATATGGCATTACACTCCTTACCAAAGCCCATGACACATTCATACAGATTCATCCAGACATAACCCACTGCACAGTCCAACATGTTTAACTTATTATAGATCAAGTGTTAGTTAAGTCTGACATATTAAATGTGCCTGAAAAATTATATGCACTAAGTTGGAAGACAAATGGCCGTGCTGGAGACTCCCATTTGCACTTACAGGCCATGCCACGCTCCATCCTCCCCATCCTGCCTGGGAACCTGACCAGTGTGGCTAAACCAGCAGGCTCCCTGGCTGTCACCTTCTGGCTGGTTGAGCCAATGGGAAGCATGAGAGGAGAGCAGAGGGTGGGGAGAGAGTGAGGTCAGGGTCAGTCCTGGGGCTCCTTCCCTGGGAGGTGGCGGGAGTGCTGCATTCCTCTCTGAAGTCTCCTTCAAGCCCCTCAGCAAACAACGCCCATCTCCAAGTCCAGCCACTTGCTCTATCCTCTCCTCTGTAGGCCCAGCGGTGGGAATGACCCTCCACTGTTGCCACCTTCGGCGTACTGAAGCATCCTTTACTGGATTCCCTAAATTCTATGCACATTTTTATTAAATACTTCTCAGTTACCCAGTTTCAATGAGCTACTGGTGTCTTGCTGTTACCTCGACAGATACAATAGTGTTGCATGGTTAATGACACAGACCTTGGAGGAAAACAGTGTCTGGGTTTGAATCCCGGCTCTGCATCCTTGCAGGATGTCTGATCCTGGGTGACTCAATTAGCCTTCTGGGCCTCAATATTCCTCCTTGGCTTAATGGGCACGATAGTGCCTAACCATGCCAGTGATGATTCTGGATGCCAACAACAGAATCCAACTCTGGCTATATAAAATAGCAAGGAAATTCTAGGGGAATATTAGTAACTCAGAGTTGATGAGAGTCTGGAGGACTGGGTTTAGAAAACAGGCAGAAGCCAAGAGAGAATGGACAGCAGAGGCCACATGAGACATTCTGGCCATGTTGCCATCAATGCTACTGCCTTGGACACTGGAGGCCACCATGCTATTCCTGGACTCTGAATCCTTAAATTGCCTCTGAGGAAGTCATCTCCAACTGGCCCTGCATTTGTGTCTCAGCCTCAGGTCTGGGATCCTGGGCAGAATCATGCATGTGGCCAGGGCAGATCAAGTCAGCTGCTTGCAGCATAGCTGCCGGGAGAGGGGTGGGAGGAATATCTGCCTCCATCTTCAATAGAAAAGGGAGCAGAGCTCTGCATCTGAGTGAAACTCATACACTGGGGCCTGTCCCCCCCAAAAGGAAAAGGTGTTTGGTGCTGGAGAGTCAAAAGATAACACACCTCCACTATACCATCTCCCAATGTTGACAGGATCCAAGGAGATGCTTGAGTAAAGAAAGCACCTGGCACACAGTAGGTCTTCAATCCATGGTGCCATGGTGGTTACTGCTACTACTGTTTTTTTTGGGGGGGGATAAAATCTCGCTCTGTTGTCCAGGCTGTAGTGCAGTGGCACAGTCTCAGCTCACTGCAACCTCCATCTCCTGGATTCAAGCTATTCGCCTGCCTCAGCCTCCCAAGTAGCTGGGATTACAGGCGTGTGCCATTATTCCCGGCTATTTTTTTGTATTTTTAGTAGACATAGGGTTTCACCATGTTGGTCAGGCTGGTCTTGAACTCCTGACCTTGTGATCCACCTGCCTTGGTCTCCCAAAGTGCTGGGATTACAGGTGTAAGCCATTGCACCTGATCAGATATTACTGTTATAACTGATCTCCATGCCTACGCCTGGACAGGATGCTCAGAGAAACTCACACTTGGTCCTCAGATAAAACCCCTGAGCCCCTTAGATGTGCTGCAGGGCTCTTGCAGACGTGGTCAATTTGAACTCCTTGCCACAGAACCACCTAAGCTGTTGTTGAAATACAGATTCCTGGCCCCCTTCCCAGATCTGCCAAATCAGAATGCCTGGGGGTGGAGCCCAGGTGTGTACGTGTGCCACATTTCCAGAATGAAGCCACATGCCTGTGCTTGGGAACCATGGTGCAGGCTGATATTAAAGAGGGTGAGTTCAGCAGAAAGGCTTGAACCTGGCTTTGATGGGTGAACAATATTTGTTTGCACAGTACCATTTCACAGGGAGACTGGGGTGCAGGCTTGTGGGTTCAGTGGTCAGTGATGAGGAGGTTGGTGGCCTGAGGCGGAGAGTAACACAGTAGAGACCTCAGGTGGGTGGGTCTAGACTCACCATGGTGCAGAAAGGGAAGCAACTGAGTGTTCCCATCAGGACTGTGACATCATGATGGCAGGAAGGAAGCTGTCACAAGCATGGCCAGCCTGCCTGTCTTCATCTTCTGCATCTTCCTGAGCTGCTCCCCCAGTCATGCTTACCTCCAAGATTTCTCAATATTAATAAATAACTGTCCAGCCTCGTGGGGAGATGATGACCACATATGTGGTGCAACATCCTGCAGCAACTGGAAGGGGCCCTGGGCCAGCCAGCAGACAACATATTTGGGTGGCAGATAGAGTGGAGGGGGCAGGGCTCTGGGGATGCCCTAACTGCTGCTCCTGCTGCTGCTGCTGCTGCTGCTGCTGCTGCTGCTGTTACAGGTAGGGAGAGTGGATAAGCAGGCTGGGGGAGTGGGCACCAGGGAGAGGGATATAGACAGCCCAGAGGAAGTGCCCACTAAGGGGAGTTTCCTCTCATTTTTTTGGGATGGACTGGAATGGGATCAGGTCATGTGGTACAGATGGAAAAGGGAAAGGAAGGCAATGGATGCAGACTGTGCTGGTCCACCCTGACCCAGCAGGGACTGGGCGATGAAACAGAAGATGGAGATTTCTCTACTGCATCTTGAAGTTGAGAGAATTAGGTGGATTCAATCAAGCAATCCCCCAGCACTGCGAGATGTAGAGACAAGTGAGGCAAAGTATTCCCTTAAAAACGTATTCACTCACTGTGCAGAGGAGTCATTAGCAGAGCAAAAGGTAAAGAACAGCAAAAAGACAAGTAGCAACATGAAAACAAAACGGTGGAAGTCACTCTAGCAAGGCACAAAGGGAGTGTGGAGAAGAGGATAAGAGTTCTGGAATAAGACAGGGCTGAGGCAAATCCCATCTCAGCCACACTCTATGTACGTGATCTTGAGTAAGGTTTCTAACCTCTGCTCGGCTGAGTTTCCTCATTTGTAAGTGGAACCGACTCACAGGTATTTATTTGTAGGTGGTACCTACTTCAGAGGGTAGCCCTAAGAATTAATGGATGGATGGAAAGCCCTTGGCTCAGTATTTAGGACCTAATCAGTGCTTAATAAATATTATGATGGAGATAATGATGATGGAACCAGGTGTAGGGTGATCTGTGATATTGAGGATGAAGAGGAGAAAGAGATTAGTGCCAGCTGCAACTGTTCAGGTCGACTCCCCTCTGAGACCAGATGGGATAGATATAGAGGGAGAAGAGTGAGAAGAGCATCTGTCTTGGGGGACACTAGGAGCTAATACAAAATGCTGTGTGAGGCCAAGTGCTACGGCTCACACCTATAATCCCAATACTTTTTGGAGGCTGAGGTGAGAGGATGGATTGAGACCAGGAGTTCAAGATCAGTCTGGGCAACATAGTGAGATGGAGTTTAGATGGAGTCTGGCTCTGTCGCTGAGGCTGCAACCTTTGCCTCCCTGTCTCTATAAAGAACAGAAAGTTAGATGGGCATAGTGGCATGCACCTATAGTCCCAGCTACTTGAGGGGGCTGGGATGGGAGGATCACTTGAACCCAGGAGGTCAAGACTGCAGTGATTGAACCACTGCACTCCAGCCTGTGCGACAGAGCAAGACTCTGTCTCAAAAGACAAAGACAAAAGAACTGTGTACCAGGAAGCAAAAGGCACGCCTGGGCCACCACAAGTACAATAGAAAATGGGTGGTAAATCGGGCAAAGCTCTTTTGTACCTTTTAATGACGAACATTTTCCAGTTTACAAAATGTAGAATAGTCACTGTCAACTCATCACCTAGATTCAAAGTTCAACCATGATGGATATTTGCCTTATTTGCTCATATGTGTGTGTGTGTATATATATATGTGTACATATATATACATATTTATATGCACACAGACACATGCATGATTGCAGAGTCATTTAAAAATAATCACAGAAATAATCACTCCTACATGCTTGATGAAGCTAGGCAAACTCTTTGTCTGTGATCCTGTGTCTGGGGCTGGGGATGTAGAGGTGAGGGAAGAAATCATGTTTGCTCAGCGAAGTGCTTAAAGTCAATGTGCTTGGTAGAAGGACAGAACCTGACCATGATCTGTTCTTACGACATCATGAAATATGCCTTCTGCCTGAAGGCCTGGCAGTGGGTGGGGAGCCAGTGTCCCCCAGAGAGTCTGGCGCTCATGAAGACTAGAAACAAAGACCTAAACAGGTCCAGGCCAGGAGGTACTCGCTGGAGGATTATCCACGGAAGCCATGGTCATGATCATGGTGATAGAGCTCTGGAGGCAGGACTTGAGGCAGTGTCAGTGTGTGACTCCCTTTCTCCTCAGGACCCCATTGTCCTGCACCATTGGATTTGGCTGGTATTGGTGCAAAGGTGAGCAGCTGCAGGACCTGGTCAGGGAAGGGTGTCCTTTGGTACAATGATGTGTCCTTAGGCACAATCTGCTCAATGATGAGGGGCTGTTTGACAGACATCACAGAATGATGGGAAAAATTTCAGGCCTGAAATCAGGGGACATCGGTCTTCCATTCTCTTGCTTTGTGACTTTTTTGAGAAAGTCAATAGCTTCTCTCTGGGCCTCAGTTTTCTCACCTGTAAGACAAGGATGTTGGACTAGGTGATATAAAAAATTATCTTGGCTGGGCATGGTGGCTCATGCCTGTAATCCCAGCACTTTGGGAGGCCGAGGCAGGAGGATCATGAGGTCAGGAGTTCAAGACCAGCCTGATCAATATGGTGAAACCTCGTCTCTACTACATATACAAAAAATAGCCAGGCATGGTGGCACATGCCTGTAATCCCAGCTACTCAGGAGGCTGAGGCAGGAGAATCGCTTGAACCCGAGAGGGGGTGGTTGCAGTGAGCCGAGATTGTGCCACTGCACTCCAGCCTGGGCAACAGAGTGAGACTCTGACTCAAAAAAAAAAAAAAATATTACCTTACTCTATGGCAGAGGGCCTGCTGGAGAAACTGGGTAATTGAACATGTGCTATATGCCAAGCATTTAACTTGTTAATCTCTTTACTCTGAAATAAGTGCTGCTGTCTTCACTGCAGAAGAGGAGACAAAAAGAGGTTAAGTTATTCACTATGTCATTCTGCAGGTAAGTGGTGCAGATGGGACCTACAGGGAGGGACCCATCTGATTTCATTATACCTGGTGAATCAATGAAATGGCCCCCATTTGGTCAATGAAAAGCCGTTCCTCTACTCAGGGATTTCAATAGCAGTAGATGAGGCACAGTTATTAGAGAGGAAAAGGAAGGGCATTTTGCTGACCTTCGGTTGCTTCTCATTGGTGGAAACACTGCCAATCGTGCCTCCTCCTTTGTTAATAAGCCTGTCTGCTTACATGGGGAGGTGGAACTGGGATGCTGGAGTTCAGTGCTTTTGCCTCAAGTTTCTCTACAAACTCTGCAAGGCCAGGTACGGTGGCTCACTCCTGTAATCCCAGAACTTTGGATTGCCTGAGTTCAGGAATTCACGACCAGCCTGGGCAACATGATGAAACCCCGTCTCTACTAAAATACAAAATTAGCTGGGTGTGGGGGTGGGCTCCAATAACCCCAGCTACTCAGGAGGCTGAGGCAGAAGAATTGCTTGAACCTGGGAGGCAGAGGTTGCAGCCTGGGCGACAGAGCAAGACTCCATCTCAAAATAAATAAATAAAAATAAAAAAATTATTTCCAAGCTAGTGATTTTAAGAGGCCACCATTAGCACAGGACATTGCTCTTCTGCTATTTGAATATATGCTAAACTGAATATGTGTATATCAGGACAGACTGGGACTGAAATTGAACATCATAGGATCTGTAAATAAAGAGTTGACCAAGAAAAAGGGACAGAGCCATGGACAGGATGGTTGGAACCTACTGAACCCATGTAATAGAATAAAATAATTTCCCAGCCCTTGAGAAACATCCAAGGATACCCAGTCACTGACAGGCTGATTATAAATTAATAATGCAGTTGGTCAAGCAGTTCCATCACCCACTGCTCCTGACTCAGGAACATTTTATTAATTTGGTCTTAGTACCCCCTTGTTACATAAATACTAAAACTTCAGTCCTTTGCAAAGGTAACGGAGGGCATCACCCACCCTTGTATCTTCAGGAGGGTCAGACTTAGACAGTCCACACTTGCCTTTGACCTGGCAGATCTGGCAGTGCCGGCCACTGTTCTGATGTGTGGATTCATCCTGGACAAGGCCTGGTGTTCTCCGTCCTGTTTGTCCTTCTCAGGAAAGCCTGGGCCTTGGGTGAGTGGGGGCTGGGACGGGCCTCTGCAATTTTGTGTGGAAAAGATGTTATTTCTATCAAAGGGTAACGATCAGTTGGATACCCACCCAGAAAAAAATAGGTTTTAACTCCTTCACACTGCAGGTGAAATTAATTGGAAATACACCATAGACCTAAATAGAAAGGTGAAAACAATATAGTTTCTGAAAGAAAATGTAGAAAAAATGATCTTGGAGAAGGCAAATATTTTCTAAACAGGGCATAAAAAGAAGTAAGCATGATAAAGCATAAATCAGGGATGGAACATTGGGTATGGGACACCCACATGTTTAAGCCACATAGAAGCTCCCAGTTGTTCTCAAGAATGCTGGGTCATGTTGCACTCCCCCAGCAGGGCTCAAGGATCTCCCTTTCCTCCACTCTCACCAACTCCTGGTGTCATCCACCCTCCATGTGCTTACCAATCAGATGGGTTCAAAGTGACAGCTCCATGTTTTTAAATTAGTTTTTCTCTAGCTAACAGGATCAAACATCTCTTGATAGGTTTCTTGGGCATATGGTTCTTTACTGCAATGTATAACCTATTTTTAACCATTTTCTATTTGGCTTCCTTCCACTTGTTGACTTTGTTATTTTTCTTTTTCTTTTTTTTGAGACCGAGTTTCATTCTTATTGTCCAGGCTGGAATGCGATGGCACGATCTCAGCTCACTGCAACCTCCGCCTCCTGGATCCAAGCGATTCTCCTGCCTCAGCCTCCTGAGAAGCTGGGATCACAAGCATGTGCCACCATTCCCCGGTAATTTTGTATTTTTAGTAGAGACAGGGTTTCCCCATGTTGATCAGGCTGGTCTTGAACTCCTGACCTTAGGTGATCCACCCGGCTTGCCTCCCAAAGTGCTGGGTGAGCCTCTGCACCTGGCCTGCTTGTCTATTTTTAACAAGCCCTTAGTTAGTTTAGATTTTGAAATTGTTTCTATAAATTCATGGGGTACAAATGCAATTTGGTTACATGTATAAGTTGCATAATGTCCAAGTAAGGTTTTCAGGGTATTCATCACCTGAACGACGTACATTATACCATTAAACGATTTATCATCATCTACCTCACTCCCAACCCCTCACTCTTCTGAGTCTGTTGCCTATTATCTACTCTCTATGTTCATGTGTACACATATTTTAGTGACAGCTTATAAGTGAAAATATGCAGTATTTGTCTTTCTGTGTCTGACTTGTTTCACTTAAACCAATGACTTCCAGTTCAATCCATGTTGCTGCAAAAGACATGATTTCATTATTTTTATAGCTGAATAGTATTCTATTGTGTGTATATATCACATTTTATTTATCCAGTCATCTGTTGATGGACAGTTTGGTTGATTCCATATCTTTGCTATTGCGAATAGTGCAGATAAACACAGACGTGCAGGTATCTTTTTGATATATTGATTTATTTTTCTTTTGTTAGATATCCAGTTGAGATTGCTGGATCAAATGATAGTTCTATTTTTAATTTTTTGAGAAATTTATTTTTTTGGAAGCTGTACTAATTTACATTCCCACCAACAGTGTAAAAGAGTTCCATTTTCTCTGCATCCTTGCCAACATCTGTTCTTTTTTGGCTTTTTAAATAGCCATTCTGATTGGTGTAAAATGTCTATTCATGTCGTTAGCCCATGTTTTAATGGGATTATTTGGGTTTAATGGGTTTTGTAGTTGTTGAATTGCTTGAGTTCCTTGTATATTCTGGATATCAGTCCCTTGTTGGAGATACAGTTTGCAAATATTTTCTCCCATTCTGAAGTGTTGTTCACCTCTGTTTTTTTTTCTGTGCAGAAGCTTTTAACTCCCCATTTGTCTATTTTTTGTTTTTGTTGTCTCTGTTTTTGAGGTCTTAGTCATAAATTCTTTGCCTAAAGTAATGTCCAGAAGAGTTTTCCCTAGGTTTTCTTCTGTTATTTTTATAATTTTAAGTCTTAACGTTTAAGTTTTAAATCCATCTTGAGTTATTTTTGTACACGGTGAGAGATGGGGGTCCAGTTTCACTCCTTTGCATGGGGACATTCAATTTTCTCAGCACCATTTATTTAGAAGGGTGTCCTTTCCCCAACGTATGTTCATGTGAATTTTGTTAAAGATGAATTGGCTGTAAATATGTGGCTTTATTTCCAAGTTCTCTATTCTGTTCCACTGATCCATGTGTCTACTTTTACCCAGTGCCAAGCTGTTTTGGTTATTATCATTATATTAGTGTTGTAATATAATTGCAAGTCAGGTAACACCATGCCTCCAGCTTTGTTTTTTTTGCTTAGAATTGTTTTGGCCATTTGGGTTCTTTTTGGGTTCCATGTAAATTTTAGGATTATGTTTTTCTAATTCTGTGAATGATAATATTGATATTTTGATAAGGATTGCATTGAATCTGTAGATTGCTTTAGGCAGTATGGTCATTTTATTTATTTATTTTGAGACAGAGTTTTACCCTGTTACCCAGATTGCAGTGCAGTGGCACGATCTCGGCTCACTGCAACCTCTGCCTCCTGGATTCAAGCAATTCTCCCTTTTCAGCCTCCCAAGTAGCTGGGATTACAGGTGTACACCACCACGCCAGGCTAATTTTTGTATTTTTAGTAGAGACAGGGTTTCACCATATTTGTCAGGCTGGTCTCAAATTCCTGACCTAAGGTGATCCACTCACCTTGGCCTCCAAAAGTACTGTGAGCCACCACACCCAGCCTATTTATTTCTATTTTTTCATTTTTTAATTAATCAATTTATTTATTTGAGACAGAGTCTTGCTCTTGTTGAGCAGTCTGCAGTGCAATGGTGTGATCTTGGCTCATCAACCTCCAACTCCCGGGTTCAAGAGATTCTCCTGTCTTAGCTTCCAGAGTAGCTGCGATTACAGGCATGTGCCACCATGCCTAGCTAATTTTGTGTTTTTAGTAGAGACAGGGTTTCACAATGTTGGTTAGTCAGGCTGGTCTTGAACTCCTGACCTCAGGTGATCCACCTGCTTCAGTCTCCCAAAGTGCTGGGATTACAGGTGTGAACCACTGTTCCTGGCCTTATTTTTATTTTTAATAGTAACCCCATTAACTGAAGTATGGTCATTGTAATGATATTAATTTTTTTGATCCATGAGCATGAAAAATTTTTCCATTTGTTTACATCATCTATAATTTCTTTCATCAGTTTTTTCTAGGTCTTTCACCTCCTTGGTTAAATATACTCCTGCATATTTAAATTTGTTTGTTGAAGCTATTGCAAATGGGATTGCCTTCTTTATTTTATTCTCAGCTAGATAATTATGGGTGTATAGAAACGCTACTGATTTTTGTACATTTATTTTGCATCCTGCAACTTGATTAAATTCATTTATCAAATATGAGAGTTTTGTGGTGAAGTCTTTAAGTTTTTCCAGATATAAGATCATGGGATCAGCAAATGGGGTAATTTGACTCCCTCCTTTCCAATTTGGATGTCTTTTATTTCTTTATCTTACCCAATTGCTCTGGTTAGGACTTCCAGTACTATGTTGAATAGGATTGGTGAAAGTTGGTATCCTTGTCTTTTTCCAGGTCTTAGAGGAAATGCATTCAACTTTTCCCCATTCAGTATGTTTGCTGTGAGTTTGTCACAAATGGCTTTTGCTATTTTGAGGTATGTTCCTGTGATGCCTAGTTTTTTGGCCTCCAGGCCAGTAGGTGGAGATTGCAGGGAGCAGCCAGCTGAGGTGGGAGTGGTAGGGTGTTTATGCCTGACTTCTGTCCTGCATAGGGGAAAATGTGTGGGAGTCCCAGGTGGTGGATTGGGTTGTGAAACCCCGCGGAGACTGAATTCTGGACTCTGTCTCCGGGTGAGAGGTAGGATGAAGCTGGGCCGGGAAAGCCTATACTCAGACCCTCTGATGGTGAATGCACACATCAGCTATTACAAGGGGATGGAGCAGCACTCAGGCCTCTGGCAAAATGCTTGAGTGAGGGGCAGCTATTGTTGCACTGAGGTCTGGCCATAGGTGCACTTCTCAATAAGTCCTAAAGTTGCCTTAAAACACTCCCAAAGTTTTGTCAAGGTGGCTATCTACATTTAAATGAACACAAATTAAATGATAAGTGTCGGGGTGGTCCCACTAGCCACAGATTTGGCAACTGGTTGAGGATTTGCATTCCTCTTATGCCCTAGTCCTGGTGAAGCTCCCTCCCATCTCCTGGCTATTATAGTAAACAACTATTCAGTCAGGTCATGCAGTTTGCACCTGGCCTGTAACTTAGCCCTGGAACCCCCGCCCAGCCCAACCAAGTCACTGAGCCAAATCTTGTCCGGCTCAGGTTTTGGGGAGGAGGTGTGCCCTGTTCCAGCATTGAATCAGAAGTCTACACTATGCTTTCTTCTTAGTCCTGGTTGTGGGAACCTATTCCCTACTCAAGCGCTGGTTCTGCCACTTGCAGTCTGAGTTTCCCTAACACCTAAGACTGCCATCATTAGTTCACAGGACCACACACAAGTTTTTAAAAGCAAGGGTCAAGAATGGCAGTTTCTTAGGTCTCGAGAAGGGTGTGAAACCCAGGGCACACTACCTCCATGGAGAAGTTTCTTCTCACAGTCTCCCAGCAGCTCTGCAAGTTAGATTCAGGGACTGGAGAGTCAAGGTGCACTCCTGTGTCCTGGATTGTATGATGTCCCAGTGGGAAAGTGGATCACAGAAAGGCTCTCACTCACTCTCTCCCATTTGGAAAGTCTCTTTTGGTTCCCAGCTGGTCCCAACCACACAAGCTTCCTGTTTTCCTTCTATTTCCTTGATTTTAGACTTTTCTTTGGCTTTTCTGTTGAACTCTCAAGTTCCCTCTTGGATAATGTATTCAAAGTGTGATTGTCTGCACACTATTTCCTTCTTCTAAGTGGATGAGGTATGGTTAAAATGCCTCCAGGAAGCCATCTTGGAAAAAAATTAGATACTATTCTATGTTAGCAATTGCAAATATCTTGTCTCAGTCTGTTATTTGTCACCTGTCAAGTTCATACGAGACCAAGCTGTGCCAAAGCCAAGTCCTGACTGATACAACCGCTAATAATGCAGTGAGCCACTTTTGCGTTCAGTCAGTTTATTATTTACACAGACAACAAGGGAAAGATTAGGCAAAGATGCCAGCATCTCATGGCTCTTGTCCCATACCCAAAAACAAAAGGGGCCAGACAACTGCAATATGAGTTGTGGGACATTCCATTGCTGAGGAGTCAACTCTCGAAGCAGATAAGTGGCTTCATAACCTGCAGCCCTATTTTGAGGTATGAGACAGAGCTTTTGGCCTCATCAGAACTCAGGAGGGCATAATGAACTATCTTTCAGGGGAGGCAGAGAAGCTACTGGGCAATGGTTCTCACAAGCTCCATCCTCTCATGTTCTAGAAGGGTTGCAGGCATTCTGCCATGCTTCAGATTAGCTGTAGTTCATGTGTCTGCCAGTGTGACCTATGTGGCACATGCAAGGTTGTCAAGGCAATATTATGGAGCTGTTCCCCTATGTTGCTTTTGTCCGTAATATATTGTTAGAAAAATTTGGCCAGGCATGGTGGCTCATGCCTGCAATCCCAGCACTTTGGGAGGCTGAGGTGGGTGGATCACAAGGTGAGGAGATTGAGACCATCCTGGCCAACGTGGTGAAACCCTGTCTCTACTAAAAATACAAAAATTAGCTGGGCATGGTGGCTCACGCCTATAGTCCCAGCTACTCAGGAGGCTGAGGCAGAAGAATCGCTTGAACCCAGGAGGCAGAGGTTGCAGTGAGCTGAGATCATG